CATTATTCAACAGTATTTGCTTCTGTTCCACTCTCTCTCTCTTTTTTTGATGTACACCAGAACACTCAGGAATATGTAATCATTTAAACAACCAAAGGGCACATTCTGCAAGCCTGCCTCCTGGCTGCCAGCACACAGCCTTTCTCTTTCCATGAGTCTAGAGTCCTCAGCTGCTCACTCTCTCTATGTCCTCATCTCTGCAACCATCTCTGGTGTCACTATTTCTCTGGATAGGGTCCCACATTCCACTGGTGTGCTTCTCCCTTGATGGTCCTAAGGTCCTCTGCTCCTGGTCTGTAAGATTAACTCCTCCCCCTTTATGTTACAAAATTTCTACCTTTACAGTTACAGTTGCAATTAGTCATGGTAACAGTTACTCACTGTGGAATCATAAGAATCTTATCTCCATCTCCTTTCACCAGACCCATCTAGACAGGATGAAACTATTCAATGGGGGTTCTATCTTACCCCATATACTCTGAAACTAAACTCCCTCTTGAAAACTTGTAAGCCAGCCACTTTGTGCCCTTATAGCCCTCCGCCCTCCCATTTTAGGTAGCCAATGTCTAAATTGCCTGTCGCTATCAACTCTGTGTACAGAGGGAATAGGATTGATCCTTGATGTGGAGACTCCTTCCCTATCAGTTGGTATTTTGAGCTACTTCTTCCATAAGTATAGGTCAAGTTTATCAAATTGTAGGAATTTACACTTGTTTCTTTTATCAAATTTCTTTATCTTCCTCTAGTCGAGTTCTGATCATCAAGCCATGGAAGCTAGGTCAAATAGGTAAGTATGTTTTGAAGTTGAATTTGTAGGTAAGTTAGAATAGGTGGATACAGTTCTTACTTATTTAGCTTTGCTTTAGTGTTAGCAAAGGCTTGAAGCCTTGTTAATGATTTACATGCTGCACATGTAGCAGTTAAAGGTAATTGTGAGGAAGAATTTGTTTTGAGTAGGAATTGGTTCAGTCTTTTCAAAACTAGGGCAAATTTACATAACATTAAAGGGCAAATGCAAGTTGTCCTTAAGTCAGATGTTCTTAACCTGGTTACTACCTGTATATGAAAATGGTTTATAATTAAGCCAACCCTATACAGCGGAGTCCCGGTGTGGCACTGTGAGGTAATGTGCAGAACTGCAAAGTCAGTTTGAACCACGAGGTCAGTGATTCAAGCTCACCAGCTGCTCATTGGTGTTATGTGCCGTGGAGTCGGTTCCAACCCATAGTGACCTTGTACAGGGTTTCCAAGGCTGTAAATCTGTAAGGGAGCAGAAAGCCTCATCTTTCTCCTGCTGAACTGCTGGTAGTTTAGAACTGCCGACCTTGCGGTTCACAGCCCAATTCGTAACCACTACGCTACCAGTGCTACTTACATATATATGTACACACACACACACACACACACACACACACATATGTGTGTGTATATACCATGGACTGCCAAAATAACAAATAAATCTGTGTTGGAAGAAGTACAGAGTGCTCCATGAAAGTCAGGATGGCCAGATCTCGTTTTTCATACTTCGTCTCTCATACTGTGGACATATTGTCAGGAGGGATCAGTCACTGAAGAAGGATATCATGTTTGGTAA